CAAGTGCACTCTGCGTGACGGGAGATGTCTCCCATGAATGTGTCCAAGATGACGATTAAGCCATCCAAAAGGTGGCACGGGCATGAATAGCCCGTAAGTGGTGGCCCTTTTAAGCCATTACCAGTATCAAGAGCTGATACTGGAGATCTGTGGAGGTGCGAATGCACCCTACATGACGGGAGATGTCTCCCTTATGAATGTGTTTAAGATGAAGATGAAGCCACCCAAAAGGTGGCACAGGCATGAATAGCTCGTAAGTGGTGACCCTTTTGAGCCATCACCAGTATCAATAGATGATACTGGAGATCTGTACGTGGAGGTGCGACTGCACCCTGCGTGACGGGAGATGTCTCCCGTGGTTGGCTATTCACTTTATGCTTGCTTATATTCGGTGACTACACCTCAGCTTCCTCCACTTGGATAGGAGGATGGAAGAACTGTTACCTGTAATTAGGGAAGAGATTATAACTTCTGCAATTAGTGCTAATTAGTTACGCCATTAAGCTATTGAGAAGTTGTATTGAGTATATTGTTTGTACTCGCTACAATACCAACAGTTTTCCATGCAGACTTTTTTACTGTGTTGTATGTGAGCACTGAAGTTGTCTCGTGTGTATGTACAGGCCAAGGAAGTTTCCCTCATTTGTTGATATTATCTATCTGAATGTGCTCTTGGTTACATGATTTGCTTCCAAATAAAATGTAGTAGGTCTTTTCTATGTTTAATGTGAGTTTGTTGGTTGATATCCATTAGTGGACTTTGTTTTATTAGATATATACAATATTATTTAGTGTGTGTGGATTAGGGTTGATGGTTGTGGTGTATAGCGATCCGTTCCCTCCCCAAACACATTGTATTTGTATGGTATCGACGAATCCCATGAAAATGTGACGAAATATTAAAAACAAACAAAAATAAAGCTCTGTAATATTGAGCTTTGTTTTATAAACAAAAAGATTTGAAAAGATGAAGATGATATCTTAGCAAATAGTATATTTTTCGAAAGTTAGAGACATTTGGCAGGTCATTGATGTATATAAGAAACAGGATAGCTCCTAAGATTTTGCCCCGCTCCTGTGCCAGGTAAGTTACGGGCTCACCATAGCCCGTGCTACTTGGAACCTGTTCCGAGTAGCTGAATCTATAACAACAACAACAACTCCTAAGATCTTTTCAGAACACTGAAAAGATTTACTGAACACAAAATTGTACCACTTACAGGCTATTCATGCCCGTGCCACCTCTTAGATGGCTTAATATTTATCAATCAATCAATCATCCTAAGATGCAGACATCACGCACCGCTCCTATGCCAGGTAAGTCCACTACGGGCTCACCATAGCCCGTTTTACTTGCCCCGCTCCTGTGCCAGGTAAGTTACGGGCTCACCATAGCCCGTGCTACTTAGAGCTTGTTCCGAGTGGCTGAATCTATAACAACAACAACATCCTAAGATGTCAATTACAGCCCCGCTCCTGTGCCAGGTCCACTACGTGCTCACCATAGCCCGTGCTACTTGGAACTTTTTGTTCCTAGAAGCTGAATCTTAAACAACAAACATCCTAAGATGCTGCCTTATGACACTCCCATGATTAATGATAGAGTGAGAGCTAATGTCTTTGGTGGCTGCATATTGGTGTCTGTCACTAAGATATGATCGAATATAATTCAGATCAGGGCCTAGGATTCCATAGTGATGAAGTTTAAGTAAAAGGTAGTTATGGTTTACAATATCGAAGGCCTTTCAAAGGTCAATGAAGAGGCCAATTGGAAACTCGTTTTTTTCAAGGGCTGAGTAGATTATATCAAGCTGACTAATAATGGCATTATTGGTGCTCTTTTGAAATCGGAAGCCAAATTGGCAGGGTCTTAATATGTTGAATTTTTAAAGGTAGGAGTAGAGCTGTTTGTAAACATGTCTTTTCAAATATTTTGTTATAATAATGGTAGGTTTGATATTGGTTTGTAATTGTTTATGTCAGTTGTATCGCCTTTATGAATTGGAGTCACTCTTGCTTTTTTTAAGGATATCAGGAAAAGAATGACACTAGAGTGGAACTGCAGACGCCACACGGCTGCATACGGCTGTTAGAGTTACGTCCTCTAATTACTCAACACAAAGCTGCTATTAGGACAATATCCAATTCTGGCCCCAGACATCACTCGGTACCCCTACTTAAATCTCTGAATATGTTAGACATTAAGTCACTGCACATTCTCTCATGTGTATTATACATATATAAAACGCTAAACTATAATGCCAATCCTGATCTCAAAAGCTTCATAGAAGGTTGTATCAGAACCCATGAGCATCACACCAGAAATAAATACAGTTTTGATATTCCTAGAGTACGACTTAATCAAACTAGAAATGCTCTACAAATCAAGGGGCCCAGAATGTGGAACGACCTTCCCAACCATGTTAAAGACTGTACCTCTCTCAACCAGTTTAAGTTAAAAGCGAAGCTATACCTAATAAATTCCCTGTAACCTACCTTACCCTTCTATTGTCAACCAATGTCTGTTTTTTTCTTTAAAGAGCGCTGTTTGTCGACTTAATTGTATTTGTGCTGCTTTTTCATCTATGTTTTCATTTCTTGTTTTCATTCTACTCATTATGCTCAATTAGTATTAAGCTTGTCATTTAAGTTTATCATGCCCGAAACGCTTTGCGTAATAGTGGCTTTAGGCATTGTATGTACTAGCTATACCTATAAGTTAAACAATCCTTGTAAATATTTATTGTATGTATGTACCTTACCTAAATAAAATTGTATTGTATTGTATTGTATTGAATAACAGAGCTATAGGTGGTGCAAGGGCATGAGCGGCGCTCATTCCCAACATAGTTGGGATTTCACTAATGTTCCCAGCTTTGGTTTTAAGTGAGTAAACCACTAATATAATGTCTCTTGGGCTGATTGGCAAAATGAGTAGAAAGTTAGGATAGCTGCCGGTGAGATATAGTGACATGTGACTGGGTCTCTGGGATATTTCTAGCAAGGTTTGCATAAATTGATGAAAAGCCACTAAATTCAATTGCAGTTTCTAAGTGTCTCTAGTGTGTAACCATCTTTGGAGAGTTTAATCTGTTTCTTGTAATAATAATAATAATAATAATAATAATAATAATAATAATAATAATAATAATAATAATAATAATAATAATAATAATAATAATAATAATAACAATAATAACAATAACAATAATAATGTATTTTCTCAGATGTACATACATATGATACATGAATAGGAGAAGATACATAGGTGCCCCTTGAGGGACTTGAAGTAGAGGGAAGGGTGGGGGGGGGGTAGAAATAGCCTAAGCTACTCTATCCCTTTGAGATGTATTTTTTTCTTGTTTCAATTAACATTTTTGAACTTGAACTTGATACATAGGTAAGACAAGTACATTGCTTTAGGTCACTATAATACCCAGTGCACGTTTCGGGGATAACTTAATATAAGACGATTAAGTTGTTTAAAGGTTTAATGAGGTAGACACTTAATACTAACAAGAGGCAGGCTAACATAAACATTGTTCAAGGCATTTTGTGAATGAGGGATGGCATCTTCTAGGGAAGGCATAACATGAAAAGTGTAGGAGAAAATGAACAGGTGTTACAAATGAATATATAACAATTAAGGAAGAAATGGGAATATAAATGAATTGATTAAAGATTTGAAAATAATTGGCAATTATACAAGATACATTTATAAATCACATCTGCTTTAACAGTACTTATAGAGTTACCTATTTTTTTAAAGTAAATGAGAATAAGAAATGCAACATACAATGCTTTATGGTATATAGGAACAGCAGTATTTATTAACAGCCAATTTGATGTAATTAATAAACAATGTTCACAATAACAGCAAAACACAGGTTGACATTGTAGGACGAGAAAAGATTGGAAAAAATAGTTACATAAGTTAATAACATAGTAATTAGTTTCTCTTTTAAATTGGACAGAGGTACAATTTTAATCTCATTAAGGAGATCATTCCGCAGTTTAGGATGTTTAATGTGCAGAGCGGGTTTCTTTTGGTTAAGTCGTACTCCCGTACTCTTTGTGACTGTTGTTCAGATCACAGGATATTAGAGATGGTTTTTCTATGTGCTTTTCATGTTTTCTTTTTCTGCCTCCATGCACCTGGCCTTGTGTTGGACCAACTGTGCTTTCTTATTTGGCAGGCTGATCACCTTCTGGTGTAAGGGGGAGCTTGTTAGTTGGTCTCGGGTGCTTTAAGTGATTCGTTGAAACCTTGAGGAACATGTATTAATGTAATTAGCGTACATGGGATTATTGGAGAACCTTAAGTGTTTATTGTAGAATTTTTTGGAATGTGGAATTCTTAGGAAAAAGTTATGTGGGATGAACGGGAACGTTTAAATTGCCTGCACAGACACTTCTGAGAACTTGGAGCAACTTTATTACTCTCAGTACAGTTGTTACAGTTTCACTGCCCCATGTTCCATTCTTCAACTTAATTCGGGAAGAGTAAGAGCAATATGGCAGAATATCAGAAAATGCAGGCAATGAGTTACAATAACGTGGCTGAAGTATGTTGACCAGACCACACACTAGAAAGTGAAAGGACGACGACGTTTCGGTCCGTCCTGGACCATTCTCAAGACGATTGTGTGAATGGTCACACAATCGACTTGAGAATGGTCCAGGATGGACCGAAACGTCGTCGTTCCTTCACTTTCTAGTATGTGTCCTAATCAACATCAGAAAATGTTTCCTAGATATTGGGCGAGAAAAGCGCCACGAGCAGTGAGGTGTGAGAGACAACATGACAAGCTTCTGGCCAGCTGGCAGGCCAAGATGACGATGGCGGCCATTCTTACGCAATTGAATTTGGCGCTCAGTAACACGTGCGCCGCACCAGTATAAGCGCCTCAACACTCTCATGCCAGAAACACTCCACACTCTATAGGATTTTTTCACGCACATACCCTTAAGAGAGAGAGTATCTGATGCTCTATATTGAG